GTAGCGAGAGGGAATCAGTGATTGATGTGGACTGGATTCAACCGCATAACCGAAGCAAGTGCTACGCGGCACGAGCAATTCCGAGTATCTCTGCCGAAAGGACGCATTTCGCAAGTGCTTGACAGTTTCAGAGATTACAAAATCAATAAACACTTCGATGGCCAGACAAACTACAGAAGTGAATCAGTTAGACACATGTTTAGCATTAGACTATAGTTTTCAGAGCGGACTGATGCTGCGGACAGAAGGTGCATTGCAATGCACCTTCTAGGATTCAATTTCCACAGGGTCAGAATCCAGAATCGACATGCGTTGCAGAGCCTACATGACAGTGTCCATAACTAGAGGGGGGTCAGGAGAGGGTGATGACTCGTATTTATGTCTGATTAAAAACTGGACATTGCTGGGAGTTGGACTGCAGAGCCCATTATTAAACAGACATCATGCAAAGAGGAGGTTGTTGAGATGGTTCTGTCCGAAGTTCTGATGGTGCAGAAGTTTGAGGGCAGCTGATTCGTCGGAAAAAATTCCGTAGAGGCCGAAGGATTCGATGATCTGTAGTCATTGTGGAGATTCTTACTGCAAGTCGCTGATGACGGGCAGAATAGAGTGTTCGCCTCCAGGTCATCATGCTCGCCTGGTACAACTCGTACCTCTGCGATTCCCACTACTGTACGGATGTGGGGAACCTCTGGTCTGCTGCTTTTTGTCATGAAAACAATTTCTCATCGGGAACGAGGTTTCCCTGTCGTGTGAAGAAAAGGACTCAGAATTGGGTCAATGTGCGACGCTGATGGGGTAGGGAGGGGGGCAGGCGGGAGCATCGGATGTTCCCTTTCTCCAGAAGCATTATCGGCCTCGGTATCAGTGGTTCCGATGGAGGTGAGGAAGCTGGACCTTTTAGCAGGTTTTATTTCTTCGGAGATGGTGATTTGCCGTGCTTTGACCTGATACTCTTTCCAAAATTCAAAATTTTTGAGAGCTTGAGTTAGCTCGCGGAGATCGCAGCTGTCAAGCTCGAAAACTATGTAGGATCAGTGGTGCTTGAGATGGTGAAAACTCAGCCCCATAACGCCTGTCAGTTTCTCTCTTAGGTTCATGTCGAGGGGTCTCAGTGCTTGTCACGTCCTGCCCTTAAAACCTTTGTTTCCAAGATCACAAAGTACAGGCGACATTCATTTTACGTTTTTGGGTTCACGCATGACATTGAGAAGCTCACTGTCATCCCTGGATTTCACAATCTTCAAACTCCGTAGTCCAGTTTGTTGGCGGAGGCACTGAACAAAATGTTGTACAATTGGACTGTGCTGCGACCATGGTTCATCTGGGGGTTTTGGTTGGTGAGCGTTGTGTGTGTTCAAGCGAATCCATCTTTGGAAGCTCAAGCTCTTCTCAGTCTGAAGGGGACGCATTCTTCTAGAGCATTGGCGTCATGGACGCTGTCAATAGTTCCCTGTCATGGCTGGGTTGGGGTGAAGTGTGACCATGTCACAGAGAAAATTATCGAAGTAAATGTGACCGGGTTGGGGATTCGAGGCACGGTATCCAGTGAATTGTGCCTGCTAGAAGATTTGGGAGTGCTTTGTCTCAGTCATAACCAGTTCGATGGTGAGCTGCCGTCGTGTCTGTGGAACATGACACGGTTGCAGAAACTGGAGGCTGCAAATTTGAATCTGAATGGTTCTCTGTCGGAGATTTGCAATCTGGAGAAGCTGGAAATATTGGATCTCAGTTTCAATGACGTACGCGGTGACGTGCCAGCTTGTTTGTGGAATATGTCACAACTGCGGTCTCTGGACTTGTCCAACAACTTGAACCTCAGGTTGGAGGATCTCCCAGCCAGTGCTTCTGTGTCTCTGCTTCAAAATCTGGCGCTTTCGAACTTGCAACTATCTGGATCGCTGCCTGCGTGGCTGGGCACTCTACAGCAGCTTGAAGAGCTCGACCTCTCTTTTAACAAGATTGCAGAGCTTCCTTCTTCAGTTGGTAATTTGTCAAGCTTAAGGACTTTGAACCTGACGCAAAACAAATTAACAGAGATTCCAGCCTCCATCGATGGATTATTAAGCATTGTGAAGATGGACTTTTCTGAGAATCTCCTGACAAGTGTACCAACTTCAATGAGCAAGGCTGTCAGACTAGAGATTCTCAACCTGAATTCCAACAATCTATCAGCTATTCCTCCCTCTTTGGGAAACCTTCAGTCGTTGAGAAAGCTGCTTTTTGCTTACAATCTCTGTACCGACCTCCCGTCTTCTTTGGGTGCTCTGGGTAGCCTCGACGAGCTCGATGCCTCGGACAATAAATTGGTTGGATCATTCCCCGCATTTGTACAAAATATGACCAGTCTGCAGACGCTGAATCTGGCTGGTAACTATCTCAGCGGAGATATACCCACATTCGTCTACTCCGGCTCAGGCTTTCGACTTTACAGTCTGAATGTTTCCAGAAACTCCTTTACAGGAAGCGTGCCAGACTTTTCCTGGGGTAATTATTATGCCATTCTGGACCTAGCTCAAAATTTGTTCACGGGTATCCTCCCTCCACTGAATAACTGCACCTTCAGTCTGCTCCGACTTTCCGGCAACAGTCTGATTGGTGGCATTCCGCTGTCCTGGGAAAACAGCACTGGCTTGCGCATGCTCGATGTATCAAACAATCGGTTGACAGGACCTGTTCCTGGATTCTTTGGGTTCATGAAGCTGTTGGAGGTTTTTGATTTGTCAAATAATTTATTTTCAGGCACTCTGCCTTCTAGTCTGGGTAATTGCACCAAACTTGAGAGGATGAGACTTGGGGACAATCCACTCATGACAGGACCTATCCCTGCCACAATGTGCAGTCCAGGAGCTTCACTGCTGACATTGTCCTTGGCTTACAGCAACTTTGTGGGTGAGATTCCATCATCTCTGGGTAATTGTACGAGATTGAGAGTTCTAGATTTAAGTGGCAATCAGTTCAGTGGAAAACTGCCCCTCAGTCTGCAGGATCTTTCAACTACATTACGAGTTCTCATTGTCGCAGCCAACAGACTAGAAGGACTTTTTCCAGAATGGATAGTTAATCTGAGATCTCTGCAGGTACTTGACTTGTCTAAGAACAGTTTCATAGGGGAGCTGCCCAGAGACTACTCTCAGCTGGAGGGATTCAGGAGCAGTGCAAGCATGGCTTCGAAGGATACACTTTACTTTGATGATCTCAAAATCAATTTCAAAGGGGGTCCTCTGGATCTGCAGTACCTCCTATCCACACGAACATCTTTCGATGTTTCCAGCAACTTGCTTTCTGGTAATCTTCCAGAAGAGCTGGCAGAATTATACGGCCTGTTATACTTGACCCTGTTCGAAAATAACTTCACTGGCACAATTCCGGTCAGTCTAGGTAAGATATCAAATCTCGAGTCTCTAGATCTGTCGAGAAATAGCTTGTTTGGGGAAATTCCACAAGAGATTGGTCAACTATCATCACTGGCGTACTTCAATGTCGCTCACAATCATCTCTCGGGAGTGATACCCTCAGGACCACAAACGAGCTCATTCGACGCATCTTCATATGCTTATAATGATGGCCTCTGTGGTTCTCCCTTGCCCCTTTGTGTCAACACGGACACACAACATGCACCTCTTCAGAGCTCCCAGCAGAATCATAGCCTTGCAAACGAGTGGATTTCTTTTCCGGCAGTTTTGGCCGGTGCAGTAATAGGGTTCTTGACAATGACTGCGATCATTATCCTCAAGAGGAGTCTCAGGGTTTTCTTCCTCCAGGCTCCATATGGGAAGGCCTATATTAGACACTACACTCAGAGACCACCATATGGTATGTACAGACCTCCGAAGTGAGGCACAAATCCACTGTTGTCTCGATGAGACATATATTGTGTGAGATAGTGGAATCTCAAAGGAAGTTTGAATAATAGATTTCAGAGTTTCTGAACAACTATGAGGAGACTTGTTCTGAAACGTGTCACTTATGTCGGTATGTCGTTCTATAAACTGGTTACATGGGAATTGGTGTCAAATCAGTGTGCATAGTTTTGGCATTTGTCGAATTCCAAAACGTGGACAGTCCCTTCAATTGAAATAAAGTGTATAGCTGTAGATGACCACTTACTACAAAAATGATGACATTACTTCGCTGGACGTGGAGAGATGTCTCAGCTCGAACATACCAAACTTAATGTCAATTATTTGTTTTTCGTGTTTTGATTATCTCCATTTGTCAAGTCAGGTAATCATTTCTTCTGATCGACCTACGTACTGGTGACGTGGTCTCAATATTTCTACTTCGTGTTCTCAACACGGTGATCACTTTATATAGAATGGATTTTATTTCTTTTCAAAGTATGGCCAAGGCTTGAATGATGTCATATTCTGTGTATTCAACTAATACAGGCAATGCTACTCTGATATTTGTAGAGCTTTAGGGTTTAGGCCTTAACCCCTAAACTCGAAGAGTTGAATTTGAATACAAGAAACAGAGCATGCATCGAACTTTTAATGATTTTTGAGTACTCGGCGTATTCTTCTTGGTGGCAAAGTCAAATTTGTCTCCGAGTCCACAAGTATAAGCAAAAGTAAATCTCATTTATGATCATAAAGGCGTCTTTAATTTATGGACTCCGCCAGATTTATTTTTGCTTAATTATATGATTCTGGAGACAAATTCCAAAATTTAGGAGGCCTGGGTTAAGGTTTTTTCTGTGGACGAGATCTTAACCGAATCAGAACTGAAACGAATACCTACTCAGGTCTTCGCACACTACATGTCTAATTTCAAGTTTATGAAACGTGTGCACTTCACCGAGCTGTTGCTCAGATCGAAGAGCGTGTGGGAAGTGCTACATCCTTGGATAGATTTACTGGTGCCTGCAAGTAAGATGGTGGAGTTCGAGCAACAGTTCTTTCGAATTATTGACGCGAGCACCCAGAATATAATGCAAATACATCAGTCAGCCAACGCAAAAGAGCTAAAACATGACACCGAAGGTTCCTGATGAGGAGAGCGTAGAAGAATACATGTTAAAAAGTATGGATCAGTACATGGATGTTACTGCTGGAGGATCTGACAGCGGATGTATACACACATAGCTGCGAGTACAAATAGTTCCAGGGAGAATGGAAGAGGAGCTCTTACGGCAGACCCCTTGAAAAGATTGCTCAGTTCATGGAATCGGATGTAAAGGCTGCAATTTGAGATGGTGATATCTGTTGGAACTTACTGATCCTTTCCATAGAAATCAAATGGGTTCGAATTAAAGTTTGCACGATATCGTTGGTCTGATGTTCCGTACATCCTTCAGGCACATCTACAGTATATGAATTAATTACCAGCGAGCCGATCGATCCAATCGCTAGTCACTCTCCGAAACGGAGGTCATTGACGTATACTTTCTGAGTCGGTGTTCACCCCCAAGAATTCAGAGAGCTGAGAACCTTATTTTCAGCATCAAGCCGCTCTAATTTTTCTATACTGCATTTTGAAGGGAACTCTGGCTGCAACCACACACGTCGTACCCTTCCGAGCCCTCCAGCACCATGAAGAAGGCAGCATCCAACGAGGAACCTTTTGTTAACCTCGGATCTGTCGAATCGTCGGATGACCTTCCTTACGTGATCCGAGGGTGCTCCCATTTCCTTCTACATGAAGCCTCGTGCTTGGTGAGAGCCTTTATCCTGAACGTGAAATCTCTTGATTCTAGCTTTCTTCTTCGCTCGTCAGGATTGCGAGGTAAAAGATTGGAACGTGTTAGCTTTTAAAACCTTTCTCCATTCTCAATCTGTTTTCCTCTGAGCATCCTGAATCCATTATGGGGATCTATACTCAGGATTCTCAAGGAGAGGAGGTCCAATGTCCTGCACCCGCAGACATATGTTGTTTTGCTGAAAGGCACAATCACAGACAACAAAAGTGATTTTTTATCTATTAGTGGCCTATGTCTCTGAAGAATTAAAGTTCAGCTGGCGCTATACTCTTCATGAGGTGAAAAATCAACATGCTTCAATTTTTTATGTGTGATAGAAAGAGTCCAGCAACTGCCGATTATAAATCTTAACAAAAATAATGTCATAAGTCTCTCATGTGCTCCAGGTGCTCATAGCATTGTACCCGAAAATCATCAACCCTCTAGATTCGTCTCGAATGCTTACAATTTATTTTCTATGATACCAAAAAATTATGTTAGATTATTAAAGACAGAGCTAATCACTATATTCTTCCCAGACTATAGATGTGAAAACCTATGTCAGAATCTCATCACCTTCCTCTCTAAAAATATAAAACTCTAGTTAAAAAGAAATCTGAAAAAAAATACAGCATGCGCTTTCCAGTGATACGGATAGTTTTCAACTCTCACGTTCTAGAATTGCATCATATTCCAGCTCCTGTCAAGAATCTGTGACACAAACACTTCTAGCCATTCCGCCATGCACTGAACGCATCCATGAACCCGAAGCTCTTCTAAAACTGGAACCTTCTCTCCTCTTTGACCTCATTCGTCATTGTCATTTTGTAATCCTGAGTTTACGGAGTGTTATGAAATGACAGTGACCAACGAGGTGAAAGAGGAGAAAACCTTCTCATCTTTGGCCTCGTTAGTCAATGTCATTTCATAAGCCTCGATTTAAGAAGGTTGTCGGAAAGGTAGAAAATTTATATTAATCGCGTTTACTTCTGTTGGTGATGAGTCATTTTTCGCAATACCATATTCTGCACTTTCTTGTGCAATCAAAGATTCATCATTATCTATACACCTAGCAAGTTGATACTGATGATGTCTGGTTTCAAATGTAATAGGAAAATCCGGGACTATGTAATCTCCTTGAGAAGTAGAACCAACCGAAGTATGCATGGCATCCTCGCCAAAAAAGAGAGATTTGATTTAGAGTTATCAACCCAATATATGAAGCTCGCGTTACTAACATAATATTAAAGATGAGTTATACTCTTCATGAGGTGAAAACTCATCACATTTCAAGAGGTGATGTGATAAAAAGAGTCGACTAAGAGTCTCTAAAACAAAGAGTCTCATAAGTCTTGCAGTGTAAATGTAGACTCTGTGCTCCAGAATGCTCATGGCATTTTGCCCGAATCAATCAACCCCTCTAGCTTCATCTCGAATGCTTACAATGTACTTTTTATGATAACTACATATCATGTTAATATATTGAAGAGAAACCTGATCACTATTATCTTCGCAGACTAAAGATATGAAAACTTATGTCAAAATCTTATCACCTTCCTCTCTGGGAAGATGAAACTCTAGTTAAAAAGTAATTTGAATTAAATAAAGTATGCGCATTCCAGTGATAAGTGTAGTCTTCAACTATCACGTTCTACAAATGCATCATATTCCAGCTTTGAACCATTCCGCCATGCACTGAATGCATCCATAAAGCAAAAGCTCTTCCAGAACCAGAAACTACGTTACTTCTTGATGGTCCAATCCAAGAAAATCTATAGTTGAAATCCAAGAAAAGCTTAAGATTGTTCAATGGAAATTTCGACTACAAAACGAAAGTAATAAGTGGAGATGATTTAATCTTTCCTAGAAATTGTGTCTAGAATATAGCAATCCATTAAAGCATGGGCATCGGAAGTTCCTACAAACATACGTTATCAAATTGGAAGCGCTTCCCACTAACTTTCAGATAATGGCATCATCAAAGACAGAAGCTATCTAGAAAGCGTCTTTTTAGCTCCATCGTTACAATAAACTTCAACTTGCGGATCCTTGAACAAAAAAGTTTAAAATAATCTGAAGCAAGAAGTTTAGGGAAACACATGATAACATAATCTTGAATCTTGAAGATCTTCAAATTCGTTGCTCTGTCGGCACTAAGGACTACTATAAGCAGACTATCAAAGAGTTTTAGCAAAAGAGTGTTGAGTGATCAGCAATATCATTACGCAAAATCTACAAAGTCAATGCAAGATTGTCTGCAATATTTCCTTCCGTATCAAAGTTGGAATTAAGCTTCTTACTTGCTTTTAACGCCGAACATAGATCTTTAGAAACAATAATTCGTTTATCGTAATGACCTAAAATCAGAACTCGCTACAAAGTCATGGTCAAGTCAATTTTGTCTGCTGTATTGACTATAATCAGAACTCGCTTCTGCCTGCGACTTCCAGATCACAAACGGGATATAAGAGGGTTATTAAAAGGGGAACATGAGGTTTACGAGTCTCCGATCATGTATCCTTTGATGACTGAATATAAATTTTTGCTCTCATCCACTATAATAGTGTAGGAGAAGACAACGGTCAAGATATTTGAGCACTCTATGTGCATGTTAAGGCTGTGAACAAGGAAATTTTGCAAGCAAAAAATTTGGAACTTACACAAGAAGTTAAGACATCATGGAAGAATCACGCACCTCGTACAGATGAACTTACCTAAAAGGTCGATGTTGAGGTTGGAGATTTGTCTGACACTTCCGGCTGTGCAGTCGCCCTCGACCATGTTGCAACCCACCAGAAACTCCTGGTAGGCCTGAGGTTTGTCGAATTGTCGAAGTACCTTGCACACGTAATTAGAATTTGCTTCGATTTCCTTGTAGAGGTGACCTCATGCTTGATGGAAACCATTTTCCGAGGTGTGAAATCTTGGGATTCTCTCTTTTTCTGCGGGTTTTAGACCTGCGAGATAGAACATCGGCTCGTCTGTGTTCTTGAACTCCCTCTCCATCCTCACTCTGATGTCCTGCTCTTGTGAATCCATTTTCAACAACCTAACCCAACGATGCAGACGCAGGTACGAAGTGACGAATGAAAGCCGGCATGTTGGTTTAAATACTTCATTTCATGGGCGTGAAGTGGGGACCAGTCCATGTCGGACGGAATGAGTTACGTGTTTGTGTTCAGTAGACCTCAAGCACACGGTAAATATTTTTGAATTTAAAGTATAATAACTCCATCTATAGATAAATTTGGAAATGACAATAGTCATGAGGTTTTGACTAATCTGAGTCACCCTCAATCTTAGACCTCGCTCAATACTGTGTAGTCCAGTAGACGTTTTTAACTTAAGTTTAGTGTTTTTATTCATATGTCATAGTACATTCAACACTTAAGCCAACCTTCTTTACAATAACTTGGCTTTACTTTACTGGATATACTAAAAAAATTTCACTCTTACATACATATATATTGCATTTAGTTTTGACATGAAACTAGATCAAAATTTATAAATAACATACTAAATTTTTTCCCGAATATTGTGGTACCCCACTTTTGGCAATTTTGAGGAAATTAAAACATTTTTGGAAAACTGTACCCTGGCAGCATTGTAAATAGCCTCCGGTACATCAAAACAGAGTGAATCCGGAAGATCGCGGGGATTCTCGAGGGATCTTGTAGAATCTGGGATTTGGGGTGCCGCAGTAAGGACAGGCGCCACCCTCCTTGCGAGCTCTGCAGTTAGGATCTCTACGGCGCACGGCGCAAAACCCGCCTTCGGAGGTTGCGTCCGCGGCTGTAGGGAAACCCCCCGTAATTAGGTCAACCCTCGGGCGCCTTGACCAAGTTAGGATCCCGTTGGAAAGAGCTCGACGCACTGATTCCAACGAGCCCAAGAACGCTTGGAACGGATGAGGACTTAGGGAGTTATCGCTATTGGAAGAAACGGAGGCGGTCGCCTACGGCGGAAGGATTTCGCCACCGGCGCGAATTCCGCCTACGCGGAAGGGGGAATCAAGTTTTGTCCTATGCGCGGACGAAGGCGTTCGCCTGTGCACAGGCGAAGTAGGGTTAGGGAAGGCGCGAAGACCGCCTACGCACAGGCGTTCGCCTGTGCACAGGCGCTTCGGCGTCGGCGGGAAATCCGCCTTGGGCCCTAGAAATGCGCCTTGTGAGGTAGAAAGTGTACGGCGCCTTCCGCGCCAGCGCAGCGCCGCGTACGTCAGAAGAGCCGCCAGAGTAATCCAATCGGTACGGACCATGCGGACGGCACGGGTGGATGCGCTCTTGGACGGACGGAGTTGCGGCGGCGGAAGCACCGACGGAGAGACAAGGAACGGACAGACTGGACGGAGACGGCTGACCACGGTCAATGCCTTCCGCGCCAGCGCAGCGCCGCGGACGGAATTCGCCTGCGCACAGGCGAACGCCTGTGCACAGGAAGATGTTCAAGTTCCGCGCCGGCGGAGAATCAGCCGAGGCTCCTGCCTGCGCACAGGCAGGAGTTGAACTTTTGTCCGACATGCGGACACACGCGTCAAGGCAGAGGGGGATTGGCCGAGGGGCGGTACGAACAAGTGTACCGCGCAAGGCGGAAAACTCGCCTTCGGCGCTACGCCCCCATGTCCGCAGGGTGACACGCTCGCGGAGTTCAAATCCGCCAATTCGAGCGTGAGAGTTTAATCGACGACGGCGGAGCGTGAAGCCGCGCGTGAGAGCGAAGACCGTTCCAGCGTACAGCCGGCGCGGCCTTCAAGTGAGACGTTCTTCACGACCAAGAGCCGACCATGACCTTCGACCGGGCGGCGGAGAACGTCCCATTCTTGAATTCGCGATTCCAATCTCTTGTGCGCGCTGCGCGCATCCATCTGCTGGCTGCGGAACATTCTCGACGTCGTCGCACAGGAGATTTCTTGTTGATTGAGGGAGAAGTGAGTGCGCGTGATTTGGAATTGAGAGCGATTAGAGTTTGCCGAGAGAGAAAGAAGCGCGGGCAGTGCGGAAGTAGAATGAGCGGGCGAGCGAACCCCAAGAACGCAATGACGAGACCGAGCAGATTGCGGATGGTGCCACTTCGTCTGCCGCAGAACGGGCTGCGCGCTTTCGAGGAGCGCTTAATAGCAAGAAAGCTCGATTTCTTGCTATGGGGATGGAATTACATCTGTGCGAATATGGTACGCGAGTGGCTAGAGCCACAGGGACCACCCTCGCGCGGATTGCGTCCGCATGTTGATCGGTGGACAGTCCAAGATTGGGCGCAGGCGTTGGGAAGATGTGCTGGCATGCCAGGGCATCTCCTTTTCGACAGTGAGAGCATCAAGGTGACCAAGCAAGAAGAGGCGCAATTTGTGGAGCTGTTCAAGACCACGAGATCTACCAAGAATGGGTACAGGACCCGTGATTACAAGGATCGATTTCGCCGGACTTTGTCTGCGGCGCTGATGCAATTACTGCAGCCGCACCGCGCCTGCTACATCACATTGTGGCAGGTCTCTTTTGTGGAGTGCGTCATCGAGGGAACTCCAATTCACTGGGCGAGCATCCTGCACAGGGTGATGCGACAGCACGCGTTTGAGGAGAAGGGGGGAACTCTAAACCATCTTTCTCCTTTCCTCATCAATTTTTATCGACAGCGGAATTGTTTGACAGCGGCGGAGCTTGAACATTTTCCGCCATTGTCCATCGACCATCCCGGAAAGTATGTGCGGGAGAACGAGGTCGATACTGATGCAGAGGAGTCACCGACTTCGACCCCATCAAGACGGAGGGACGAAGGGAGACACACTCCTGCAGCGCGAGTGCCGCGGAAGCGGCGATGGAGGGAAGAGTCTGAAGAGGAGCAGCATCAAGAACCCTCTGCTCCCATTCGACCGCGGCCGCTGTGCGAGCCATACAGCCGGCCGAAGCAGAAGGCACGCAGACTGGTGTTGCCAGCTGACAGTGCAGACACGGCGACGATTGCGACGGAGATAGGAAGTGCGTCGCCAGAGAGGCGAGAGGAAGCGCGGACGACCGCAGGAGCAACGGGCCACGCTGCAACCTCGTCGGGAGAGAGGCCGCCTACGGGCCAAGGGCCTCCGGAGTTACCACGTGCGATGCGGACAGATGTTCCGTTTGCGCACAGGCGAACCTCCGCGGACGGACGAGCCTCCGCGGACCGGCGAACACAAGTGGACGTGGATCTACGCTTACGCGTGGGAAGGAGCAGTCCGCCTGTGCACAGGCGCTCACCTGTGCACAGGTCGCCTGTGCACAGGACACCTCCACACGTGCCGCCTGTGCACAGGCACGAATCACCCCCGTTCCAACGTAGGAAGGGGAAGGAGCCGGCGGAAGAACCGCCTACGGGACACCGGCCCTCGGGGCCAGACCCTCCGGCGCACCACGCGCCGCAATTCGCGCCTTCGGCGCCAGGGCCTTCGAGCCGAGGAGATACGAGCAGAGAGCGTGCGGAGGCCGCACCATCGGCGGGAAGTCCGCCGATAGATGCGCCTTCGGCGGTAGGGCCTATAGGCCAAGGAACATCGGGCGTGCGGCCCCCGGCCATGTCGCCTTCGGCGATAGATGTCCGCGGCGCTACGCCTGCGGCGGACAAGGCGCCGGCAAATGCGCCTGCGCACGGGCCGGGCACAGCCCCCACGGACCGATCAAGGGAGCAGCAACAGACGGAGGAGCGGAGTGACTGTCCGCGGGATGAAATCTCGACGCGCGATGCGCAATCCAACCCCGCGCAGCCACCCTCCGCTCGATCGCCTTCGGCGACGGACGACGGCGGCAGAGATGATGCGGTAGACCATCAACAAGCGAGAGACGGGGATGCCGCACGGGTACATTCGCCTTCCGCCTTGGACATTTTGGCGACGAGCAGCGAGGCTGCAGCCGTGCCTTCGCAGGCAGCACACGTCGAGGACGTGCAGCCCCACTCGGGGCAGTCGCCGACGCAATCAATGGCGACTGAAATTCTCCACTCGGATGATGACGACGGAGGCTCCACGGAAGAAATGTCAGGAGCAGAAGACACCGAGGAGGAGGAGGAGGAAATTGTTGGAGCGCCGGCGGCGGCGCTCTCTGAGCAGGTGATTCCGTTGCTGCGGTACTTGGATCGCAAGGTCGATAAATACGCCGACCCACTCCAGCTGGGATCTTACATCGAGTTAGTGCGCAGGCGGACTTGCACTAAAGTCCACACCAGCAAGCTATTAGCTAGAGTGGACCAGGAGTTGAGGGACTTGAAGGAGAAGCATGAGTGCTTGTGGGGTCAGTACAAGCTTAATCAGAAATTCTACAAGCACTCCGAGAAGGTGAAGGATGAGAAACTGGGCGAGCTCACCAAGGAGCAGGTGAAGGTCAAGGAAGCACTCGATTCTGAGCAGGCCCAGAATCGGATTTTGTCAGAGGAGCTCGTGCGACAGACGCGGTTGTTGGAACAATGTCAGCTCGCACGGCAGGCGGATGAAGAGTTAATCCGCAGGTTACAGTCAGAGTGTGGCGAGTTGAGAGCGCAACGTGCCGAAGCCGAATCGCAATTAGTGATACTTGAAGAGGATCGCAGGAAGGAGGCGGATCGCACGAAGGTGGAGACGGCGAGGCGAGTCGCCCACTGTCTCAAGGGCTACGCCCACTGGGAAGTGAAGGCGCAGGAGAAACTCACACTGCGTGAGTTTGAATTGCGCGCAGCCGGGTTGTTGTCAGGCGACAGTAGGAGTCGGCGGAAGGTAGCGAAGAAGCTCGAGGCCTTTCTGTCGAAGGCACAGGATACCATGTCCGCCCTCGAGGGGGAGGTGTCCGCGGCGTTGCAGCGGTTGGGGCTGCGCAGTCGAGCGGAAGAGTGGCAGGGTAGGGAGTTAGTGCGCGGCAGTCGGCCGCGCAGGAGACGTAGTACAGGTTCCGCGGAGTGTAGTGTAGCGTGGTTCCGTGCAGGTGTGTAGCGTAGTACAGTGTAGTGTTAGGTAGGACTTAGAAGGTATAAAATAGTTCCAGGCGTTTTGCCTGGGGTTCTTTCCCATCAGAAGTGCAGATCAGGAACCCATTTCCTTTGCGTGTTTGTGTCCTTGAGTTCTGTCACCACGCACGA